AACCGAGAAAATCAATTTTACATCTTCAAAATGCCAAGGAATTAGTCAGAATAAAAGGTTTCGTGACGTGAGATTTTGAAGTTCGTAGAGTTTGTAATTTGAAGAACTCAATTTTCGGCCCAAGCCGGTCTTTTTGTCGAAATTGGACTTCTAGCCTGAATTAGTTAAAGTAAGGTTTTGAAGTTCCATGGAATGAATTGAGAAATTCAAAGTTTATTTCCGTCCTGGGTATTATACGATAAACTACGTCCAACAGCAAGGCCTCTGATCATGAGGTTTTGAGGAGCGTAATTAATTGCTGGTGTTCCCAGGTCCACCCTGACCTGGGGTGGTAGCACCTGTTAGGGTCCTAAGTATGGGCAAATAACTGGTGTCAAAACACTATGAAAATGTAAAAATAGGTTTTAATACCAGAAATACTTTGTAAAACAAAAATATACCAGCTAGTTTTGAAAAAAAAAAATACTATCTACATTAAAAAAAATATTACCAGCAATAAAAATCTTGTCGGTATTATTAATTTATTAAATAATCCATTGAGGTTGATATGCCGTAAAAAAAAAAAAAAAAACACCTACAAAGAATATATATTCTATTCATAAGTAATCTATTGTAAAAATCTTGTCGGCATTAAATAACCCATTGAGGTTGATATGCCGTAAAACCAAACAAAGTTATGTCTTTATAATTCTCATTGCTGTTTTCTAAGAAGCTGGACGAGAGGTTCTTTTTTTTTTTTTTTTTTCGGTAGGGGAGAGACCCAATTAGCCCTGCGCAAGAACGTTCGTGCGGCTTTTAAGCTAGTCTTAAATCAAGGAAGACGTCAAAATCCGAACATTTTTAAGTCAGGTGTGACTACTTTAATTTGTAACGTATATCGATGTAGGTAGAAAAAGGCAAATGTTGATAGCGAGGGTCGTAAAGCACTGCCTGGGTCCCCAAACATGCTCGTCCTCGGTGTAAAAAAAAAAAAAAAAAAAAAAAAAAAAGGTTCGGAGCAAGTGCGCGCCTGCCTTTGCATCGAGAGAATCCCTAAAATGCAAGGACTGTATGTCTCTAAGCGCATATCATAACTGACCTCATTCAGTTTCCTAGTACTTTCATAATGTTTTTTTTTTGTTTTTTTTTGTTTTTTGTTTTTTTGTCTAATGCCATTTTTATGCCATAAGCAGTAGTAGTTTAAAAAAAAAATGTAATATGTTGGAAATGTTGATACTGAAATTAGTGTACTTTCAATATAGTTTTACTTTTACTTTAATGAATTGTTTAATTTTTTTTAAAAAATCAACTACAGTGTAACCCGGATATAAGAGACATTTTCTCTGGTCCAAAATTAGAGCCTGTGTTAATGTATATAAAATAGACCAAACCCGGATATAAGAGACTTCTTCTCCGGTCCCGACAACTCTCTTATATCCGGGTTACACTGTATATATCACTTACTTTCGTTTAGGTATTAAGTTATATCACTTAGCATCTTCCATAGTTTACCTTTTACTTTCAGTTAGTCTCCAAAAAGTTTTTGAGCGGTCTTAAATTTTAAAATTTTGAAAACCTAACGATAATCGTACTTCTGCTTATAAATACATGTTGCAAAATAATGTCCTTACATTTATCTTGATAAAGTCCATCAGAGGACAAAACGCGTTGATAAAGTAGTTTGTCTTTTGGCTTTATCCATATTTTCACAAATTTTATATCTGAATTATTTTATATATAATTTACACTCCCCCTTTCCCCACTTTTTTTTTTTCATTTAATTGCACGCCATCAGTCCGATATGGGGGAGAATGAGATGTATTTGATTTATTTAATGTATGCTATATTTATGAGTAAGTGGACACTGAGGTAAATACCGTTCAACTTAAGATGGCCTGAAGACTGCGTTCAGGCATGAAACAGACTGTCACCATGTTGACCTGTCTATTTACACACACACACACATAGTAGGAGAAAATGTTGTACAGTTTATTTACTACAGCTCGAACAAGAATGTGTATCCCCACCCACCCACTGCAAAAATCGGACGTTTGGTATTTTGTTCAAATTTTGGCGGGGGGGGGGGGTAGTGGGTCAGGTCAGTTCACCCCTAATCACCATCGTTTTATATTTAATTATTAATTATATCCTTTTCCATTCGAACTACTCGTTGTTTAATGCTCTAATTAATACTAATAATTTACTTTTAATTTTTAATTCCTAATTTTAATTTATTTGTGAAAGGTTGTGGAGTGGTTTCCCGTTGCTTTCTACAGGGTTTCGGGTTTTAAATTAAGTTTCTATTTTTTTTTTTTTTTTTTTTAGAGCACCTAGTTTACCCTACTATTTAACCCATAGCTAGGGTGAAGAAGCGATAGACTTTTTTTTTTTTTTTCAAATGCATTTCTGCGAAATTGAATTCAAGGAACAAGCCACAGCTTGCTAATTCAACTTTACGCGCCGATAACCGTTACACATCCTCCTGAATAATACGGTAAAAATACCCAATCAAAAATGTTCGGTTTATTTTCTGCTGCTACTTAATTTCTATGTACAATATATCATTCATTCAGCTTCCGTATCTGTAGAAAAAAATGACCACAAAAAATATGCCCAAATTATTTTTAGTGAGAATTTTTCTTGAATTTTTTTATTTTCAATTTCCTAATATAACAACTGTTTCGAAACCACTTAAGTCCTAAATTCGAAAATAGGAAACGAAAAAAAATGATGCAATACATACGGCGGACTAATTTCGAATTTGACAGTGGTTTGGCTTTAAGGTTCAGCCTTCTCCATTTCAATTTTATAAACGAATGCACATAATCTATTCTGCAGAATTTTCTCTTCAGTCGTTAGAATTGTTTTATCTTGAAAATCATTCTAGTTACATGTTTTTTTTTTTTTTTTTTTTTAATGAAAATGGTTATAATGCACTATTTACTCTAGCGTAGGAATTTGTCCTAATTTCTGTACTATATATATGTTAAATGAACGCGTAGCAGCCATATTGAAAATATGGACTAAAAAGAACAAGTATAAATATATATCACCGGCCTCTGGTTTGCCACAGCTTTAACTTTCGTTCTGTGTGTGTAAAGTTTAATTCTGTTTCCCCATATGACGCAAATGATATTATTCAGCACTTACTAAGAGACACAAAAATGAATATATTTGTTCAACCCACAGTTTGTATCATGACGAGTGACTACACACACAGCAATTCTGATAAGAAAAATTACTGCTTTGTTTCAGTCTGTCTTTTTATTTTAATTACTATGCTTTCTGGATTTACTTTTCAACCACCAACAGAAAACTGTCAAGAGAATTTGAAACCAATTGATAAAAGATTTTATTCTTCTAAATACGGACATTTTCTTAAATCTAATAGAAAACATCGCAGTTCTAAAACCTGGTATCTTAAAAATGATGATGAAAAATTGTATATTTTTTCCAATGATGGCGATTTTGGAGCTTATGGTTTGTGATTTTTCTTTTTGTTACTCATGACTTTTTCTCTATTATATTGATTATTTTAAAGTAGTTGGATTTATAAATTTAAAATGAAGGCTGACATAATGAAAATTAACTACCATAATGGTAGTTTGAATCAAGGGAGCTTTCCTTTAACTCCAGCTGTTCCAAAACACTACAATTCAAAGACTATTAAACCCATAAATGTATGGAAAATACTTCTTGACAGATTTAATGATCCTACTATGATGAGCAATTCTGAACATTATTCGTTTCAAACAACGAATGGTAAAACTGCGGACAGAGCATTTTCGTCTGTGACTTCTATAATTCCTAACAAAGCAACTTCTTCAAATACTGAAGCTTCCATGTCTGTTAATTCGAGTAAAAATTCAAAGAAAATGCCTGAAACAAAAGAAAATGCCTGGTGTTCAAAAATTGATCACGGGCAACAAAATGGTACACGTAAATCTACAATGGAACTATGTCAAAGAATCGAGGAAACTGTTCGTACTTTTTCTCAGCATTATTGTTGGGAATCTGGATATGTTCACGAAAATCTTGACCCTGTCAAGTCATCCCAGATCGTTTCTTTTAAACGTTATGGCAGGGATCGGTATCAACCTCTATCGTTCTATGACCCCTTCGAGGAAATCGGATATCAACATAATCACATGTCTCATTCCTATTATCATCCCAATAGACACTGCCCTCCACACTTACCAAAAAAACACACCCTTTTTAAACCCGATAACCCTGTTTACCGCGGTTCAAATTATAAAATGCGTGACGATGGTATGTCTGCGAAACGATTCCAGGACACAAACATTTCGAAAAATAATTCAAAGGTGTTTATTCCTGCCGCATGTAAAAAATCATTCGAAAAGACACATTGGTTTTGTAGTAAAGCTGCCGAAAACAAAGTAAAAAATACCCAGTCCGATCCCCCAAATCTGACAGAGACTTGCACTACGGTCGTAAAAAGTACTGAAGAGATACTACCCCCAACCATGTCTCCAGTTATTTTAGATCTAACTTTACCGTCCACTTGCAAATCGAAAAAAGACTCTAATAATATTACCAAGGAGACTGGCACATCTTCTCTGGACAGTGCGGCTACGTCGGGTGACCTTGCTGTCGACTTGTGCCAAATACCTGACATTCATCAACAAGTCTGTAAACAAAAGGAAAATGACAGCTGTTCTGATGCTTCTGGTGGCTCCAACTCTACGGACAGTGGCTTTTCGTATGAATACCATGAAAATGATTTAGAACCGGGTAGCTTTTCGGACGAAGACAAAAAAGAGTCCGATGACGTTGATTTTCGGTTTTCTGCAATTTCCAGTTTAAATCTTAGTTCCTTGTTTTCAAACTCCTTCGACTCTATTGCAGAAAGCACTGGTCATGATTCCGGTGTTAAATCTGAAATTCAGCTAACATTCATTGAAGATTCCGATAAGGATGCTCAAACCAAAGTAAAAAATACCCGGTTCGATCCCCCAAATATGACAGTGGCAAAAATTGCTAAAAAGACACTATTCTCAGCCATGTCTCCAGTTATTTCAGATCTAACTTTACCGCCCACTTGCAAATCCCCAAAATACTCTAATAATGATACCAAGGGCACTGGCATATCTTCTCTGATCCGAACGGTTACATCGGGTGACTTTGTTCCCAAATTGCGCCAAATATCTGAAAATTTGCAACAAGTCTGTGACGAAGACGACAGCTGTTCATTTGAAACGGATAGTTTGTCCGACGAAGAAGAATTCGATGTCTGTCATTCACTTTCTCCTAAAAGTCCCAGATTCAATAAGAATTTCTTGTTCTCAATCTCCATCGACTCTGATATAGAAAGCATTGGTTTTGATTCGGGTACTGATTCCGATGACGAACCTAAAATTCAGCGAACATTCAGTAAGGATCCCGACAATGATCTCGAAACGGTTGGAATAAATTCTTGTCTGTACTCCAGGTGGTTAATAAGTCCCAGTTCTGAGGATTCCTTTGATTTTTCAGATGATGATGATGACGACGACGACGATTGGGACGAGATATGGTCATCGACCAAACCAGAATTTAACCCCAACGGACTTTATTTAAATAATGAATTTAATCATCCATACACACTAAAAATTACCTCTTGTTGCGCTTCTCCCAAAGAGGAGAAGGCCGACGTCCCAGCTGTTGAGGCGGACGACGGAATTCAGCAGAAACTTAAAGAAGCAAATGAAAAATGGAATAAAGTTTATGATGATGATGATAATCATCTGGACTTTACATCTAAAGAAAATCACACTCCAAAAGTAAATATAGATTTTTTTAATATTACAATTATAATCATTTAAATATTTTTTATTTTAAAAATATACTGTTAAATTAAATTTTAATTTTGACTGAATAGATTGAATTGAGTACAATCTTTTTTTTTTTTTTTTTAAATAGTAACAATTTTTAAATAGAATGGAAAATGTTTATTTTTCCGGGTTTTTTCTTAACCGTAAACCAAAATTTAGTAAATGTAGTTTTTTTTTTTTTAGTATTAATTTTCATTATAGTAGTTGACTTTAGCAGTATATTTTCGTAGTTTGTAACAATACAATTTGGTTGCTATATAATTTGTGGTTTTAATATTTCCGATTTTTATCGGTAAGTACTTTTTTTTTTTTTTTTTTCTTTTTACATTAGTTTTCGAACTTCTTCGTCAAGGATCGAAATGTTTTTTTTTTACCTTAAATGTTTAATTAGGCAGGCAATTTAAAATTGCTTTTTAACAATAACCTTTTTTTTTTTCTCCGCCTCCCCCTCCCGACATACAAAGTGAAAACATTAACGTAGTCGTAGTGTAATGATTAATAATAAGCATGACTTGCTAGAATTCAGTTAGAACTGAATGGAGAGTTTCATCCTCACTAGGTGCAGCATATTTGCGGTCTTGTACCACATCTTTAGTAAATCGATTTTTTTTTTTTTTTTTTTTTTTAAATCATTACATCTCCAAACAAAGTGACAAATATCATTTACTCAGCTGAGAGGGGTGTGGGCAAAAGAATGAAAATACTTTTTAGTTTAGTCAGTGCGGGGGAAAAAGGACAATAAAAGAACTGGAGCCAGGAAGACAAATTGACGTTGCATAAAGAAAGGTGTGGCACTAAGAGTAATCTACTCGTAAAAAAAAAAAAAAAAACTGGGAAAGAAAAGTTTCTTTTAAATTTCTGTGCTAGGGATTTAGACTTCCATCAAAATGCGACATTTGTTAGGATCGAGTATTTATTTATTTTTTTTTTTTTTTCATTTTAGAACTTCACTCCTCTACATAATGTCGATAGTTTCTTTAAAATCAATACATGGCATCTTGTTCAACAAACTTTTCGTACACAGAACAGTTAAACCCAGATAACTCAAAGCAAAAAATTAGAGTGGGGGACTCTTCATAAAAATATCTTTTTTTTTTTTTTTTTTTTTTTTTTTTTTGTAAAAGGTCAGTAATGGGGACCAAATATTAATATAGGTCATCAGAGCCTCTGTCTTTATGTTGAAAAACAAATTGATTTGAAAATTCATGAAAAAAAATCACATAATTGTTAGATGAAAGAAATAATTTTAGAAAAAATTTTTTAAACTTAATTTTAAGAAATTAAGTAGTTTGTCCATGTTTTAATAATAATTAAAAGAATTCCTTGGAAAATTTAAATCATCACATAATTTTTGGAAAACAAGATGACCATTTACCGAAAATAATAATCATCAAATAAAAAAAAAAATGCAACAAAAAAAAACTGACATTTAATTAGAAAAGCTTTTAATTGCTTTTATAAGTTATATTATGAATTTTTTGTTTGTTTGTTTTGCAAGAATTGTTTTATTAGAATAATTTATAAACTTAAATTTTTTTTTAAATTCTGTATTGATTTGTGACTGTTATTAAATCAAAACTATTGAAAAGCTTATAGTACAAGTCATCAAATTTTTGTGCGTGTGTGACATGCCAATTTTTGTGAATACAGATTTCCATACACAACATAAGTTATAAAACCCAAATACCTAAAATTCAATAGAATATTAAATTACAGTGAATATTTTCCTAAACCTTTAAGTAGGGTCCTCCGTTAGATCGCGTAAAAAAGCAGCATATCACGATTAAAAAAGGCTCATAAATCAATAAAAACAAAGTTTTGTCTCAATATGTTGTTATTAATTGAAAGCTAAAGCATTAAATTTATTACAGTAAGTAACATATTCTGGTGTCTTTCAGATAGAAATTATATAGATTGGAATGTCAAATATATGATCGATTTTTGTTTAATTTTCTTAAAGGCGGCCATTTTCTTTAAATTTTAAGAAATTTGTAAACAAACAAAATTTTTTTTTTTTTTTTTTTTTTAACTTCTTTCTAAAATAAAATTATATATTTTTGACACGTTATTTGAGTAAAATTTGAAAAGTTAAATTAATCTGATATGAAACAAACTACTTAAAAATTTATGACAGATTACTATGGATGATCAAAAATTATAAAATTGACAATTTTTGCAAAGTAAGCGAACGCGGTTTTTCGTTTTTAACTAGTACTTTTTAAATATTAACATTTTTATTCAGCAATTATGTAATATCTATTTTTTATTTCATACTTTCTTAATTAGATAAAAGTTTTTTATTAATTAGATAATTGTTTAAAAAAATTTTAAGGATTGTCATGTATACATTTCCATACGTAGAAATTATGAACGTGTTTTTTTTTTGTTTTTTTGTTTTTTTTTTTAAATTAAAAATATTCGGGGTCAAACGACTGTTATGTGCTTTTCAAATTTCGATTCGTAAATTTACTTTTTCATTAACGTTATCATTGCATTTACGTGCTTAAAAGCAAAGAATTTTAAACGACTTTTGAAGTAAGAAGTTAATGAAAAATTTTTAAAATGTAGGTAAAAAAATTAAAAAAAAAAAATACATTATTCATCGAAAAAATTTTATTTCTTCACAAAATGTCTTTAACGTATTTACAAAAACAGGTGAAAGCTTTTCTAATTAATTAATGTCATACTTTTTTTTACTTTTTTTAATAATTCAAAGCAGATTTTCTATGAAACCAGTAAGAACTGTTTTACAAAAAAAAAAAAAAAAAACTGATTTACTTTCTACAAAGAGTCCTGTTTAACTAATAAAACAAATCCCGTGCGTAAAGATTTATTTTAATTTCTCGAAATTTCATGAAAATATGTAAGTGGGTGGAAACACGTTAAAAAAAAATTCAAAAATAATTTCATTCATTTCTGAATAAGTCCTGAAAGTTTCATTAAAATCCGACAATTATTTGATTTTTGCAAGAATTTTCTTAACGTGTGTTTTCCTCGGGGAAAAGCGCAAAATAAAACAAACCTTTTTTATCGCGCTGTCGTTAAAAAAAAAAAAAAAAAAAAAAATTTTAACCAAAATTTTCTACGAGCTAGAAAGAAGTAAAAAAAATTTTAAAAAGTACTGAAAAATGAAAAATAGCTGAACCTCGGAAACCTTTTCCACAGGCATTGGGGTGCACTCTTCTAATAAGGAAGTGCTGTTTGAAAAATGACTTAAGGGACTTGATAAATTGTAAGTTTGTTTGATCAATTTCTTACTTTTGACTTGACATATAAAATTAGAATAATTGAAATGGGTATAGTGGTCTGTTGGAAACAATCTCTGACATGTTGTGGGGGTGAATGAAGAAGTCAATATCGTTAGGTGGAATAAAACTTTATTTTTTATTTTATTTTTTTAAATTTTGTTTCAATTTTGTTTCAGGTTCACTTTGCTACTGGGAAAAAGCTTACAACTCGCCACCTTTTAGTGTGCTGGACTTACGCCTACAAAGCTGCTAGAATTAGCCCCTGGATTACATTCGCCTTGGATTCTCAGAGATTCCGGAAGAGGATTGAGGAGCTGAAACCTACTATTGATCCAATTTTGGATCCTGTGCACAGACAGAATATTTTTACTTCGAGACTTCAACAGGAAGCAAAGATTATGTAAGCACAACTTCTAAAGCTACAGCTGTGATATATAAAAACAGAAAAAATGCAAAAGCAATTTTCAATATTTTTCTATAAAGAATTCTAAAACATGAAATTTTATATATATATAAATAAAAAAAAATAGTTATTAAAGTTTGCATTTTTCTTTCCTCTCTCACATACACATTTTCTCTTATAAAATGAAGTACCATTTTTTTTTTTTTTTTTTTTTTTTTAAAGGAAAAAGAAAAAATCTTACCCATATACATTGATTTTCAGTGTTGTGAACATGTTATCCTATTTATCAAAATTACTTTATTCCAGTTTTTTTTCTCGTTTACCACATCACTTCATATAGACCAGTGATTCTTGGCCTTTTTCTATTCTTTAGATTGATGTTTTTTGTTTTTTTTTATGACCCTCCCCACAACTCCTAGAGCTGTTTACTTTAACAAAAGCGCACTTTCTAATTTCCAGATGAAATAAACAGTGATATTTCTCCATATGAACTTCAAAACTGCTTCTTTTTTTTTCTTTTCTTTTTAAAAAAAAAAAAAAACAAAAAAAAAAAAACACAAACCAGTTATGACAAACTTATTTTGGGAGAGAAAAAAAAAAAATAACCAAGTTCTGCACATTAATACACACAACATTTAAAATTCTGCAGAATAAAAAAAACATTCTACACATCAACTTTACATAACTGAATACTACTGATATGAAAGACAGTTGAAAATTATTTTATTACATAATTTTAAGTTTATTAAAACTAAAATATACAGAGCAACAAGGTTGAAGCACTGTGGGCCATATTCATTGAACTGGTGGTATCCCAAATCCCCAAATTTTTTTTGTGGCCCCTATAAAATTTACCAGGGCCCCCTAGTGACCATGTATCTCCCGGTTAAGAACCACTGATGTAAATTGTCATGTCTCCCCAGTTTACTTTGCATAGCTGCAATTATCAATTATCCACAGTCCTTTTGGTCTCCCCCCACACACACACACGAGATGGGCTGAATGAGTTTCTAAAGGGGGGTGATATTTTTGGAAATTTAAAAAAAAAAAAAAAAAAAAAAATGAAATATACTTAAGTCGATAATCTTGCATTGTACAATAATTGTATTAGTAAATTAAATCTCAGTAGGCTTATGATCATATCACAATGAAACATCAGTTCACTTATAATAATCAAAGTTAAACAACTTCAGCCCTGGTCATTACCTAGATGGGTGACTATTTGGGAACACTAGGTGCTGTAAGCTTGTATATGCAGGTAGTGTAATAGATAATAACTCTGAATTTCAGTTGGGTTTATATTTTCTTACACTCGGGTACTCTTGGAAAAGGTACATATCTACGTCTTTTCTCCCCAGCTAAGGGTTAATTTAGTAGAATTTGTATTGGTAAAAATCATTATCTCATCAAAAAATTCAATCTAGATGCTGGCTTTAAATAACACAAATGTTTCATAAGCCATGAGAAAATAAAAAAACAAAACGATCCCACAAATTAAACCTTTAATTTAAAACCAGTCAACTGGATATTGATGTTGTACATTATTTTATCCTTCTCTCTCGACCGTTTCTCAGTGGAATCATTGCTTCTGAAGGGAGTACGACTAGCAAATGGGTAATGAAGAAACTGATGAGTAACTGTTGGAGCAGGTAGCCATAGAACATCTGGGCTGTGAAAGAGTCAGTCCTGCTCAAGCGTTGATGTTATGAAACCACTTTGTGCAGTGTTGTTTATGTAAGCTGTGACTTGCATAATGGGTTTCAGTCAAATGTCATGTCTGGTAACGTGTCTAAACCAAGCCGTTTTGTGCGATAGTTGACAGATGTGATTCCTAGAAAATGATTTTTCTTCACTGATCATTAAAAAAAAAAAAAAATTGTCATTTTAGCTCTAGTTTTTAGACTTGTGCATTAATTTTATTTATTTATTTTTTTTTAAAAATATATATATATATATATATATATATATATATATATATATATATATATGTGTGTGTGTGTGATAGAAATTTTAGGGGATTTAAATAATCATATAGTAATTCATAGTCTAGAAGAATCCTTAATAAAATGCAGGAAGCACTGGAAATATGAAACATCTGTCCAGTGCTTTCTGCATTGTCTTCAGGATTATTCTTTTTATTTTTTATTTTATTTGTTTTTTTCCTTCTTTCAACTTTCTTTCTCATCTCTTTTTATATTTTTTTTATTTTTTTTTTAACAAATCTCTCACTTTCTCTTTCTTCTACTCTTTCTTTCCTTCTTGTTTTTCTTCTCTATCTAATGTTCACACGTCTTTCTTCGTTTCACTCATCTTTGTTTCTATTTTTCTCGCCTTCTCTCTATATTGAATTGTTCCTTACCTATGCTTCTCCTTCTCTTCTTTCCGCCCTCTCTTCTTTCCTTTCCTCACTATTTCCTTTTTCTTATTTATCCTTCTATAATTTTCATTTTTTCTTGAATTATTATGGAAGTGTACGTGTGTGTAATATATGTATACAGTTACTTATCTCATAGATGTTATATTCAGCATATCAACCTTCTGTGTAATCATTTGGTTCACTCATCAGGAGGTATACATATGCATTGTTGCAATTTTTTTTTTAAACTTAAAAAAAAAAACAGTATGCTGTCAAATATGAAAATGAGGGTTCTTGAAAACTGAAGCAGGTTAGTTTAAACTGCCTCAGTATGAACAAATTTACGTGAATATTTATACTATACTGAACTTAGTGTACTGACTGGTCACACATTGATATTGAACAATTGAGTTAGAATCTGTAACAGTCGGCCCTGGTTTGTTTTTTGCTATACCCCAAAACATCAGATCATATGTACTGCTTTTTTCTTTTTTTTCTTTTTTTTCTTTTTTTTTTCCTTTTACGTTCTAGCAACTACCTTGAAAGTTATGTCTTCAATCTGTATTGGTACCAGTGAGGTTGGAAAAGTCTTAAATGTGTTTTTTTTTTTTTTTTTTTTTTTTTTTTTGTGTTTATAAATTCACTTTGAAAATTGTTACTTTCGCCACCTTTTCTTTGCATAT